TTGAGAGACGTGAATTTCGAGGTGAAGACGGGAGAATTTGTGGTGATTCAAGGTCCTGTTGGTTGTGGGAAATCTTCTTTGTGTTCTGCGTTGCTTGGAGAAATGGAGAAACGTAAAGGAACGGTGTTTGTGGGCGGGAGTGTGGCATACTATTCGCAACAGCCATGGATCCAGAATATGACATTGAAAGACAATATTTTGTTTGGTCATCAGTTTGACCGAACCAAGTATGAAAAAGTACTGGATGCGTGTGCATTGACTCGTGATCTTGAGTCACTGTCAGCAGGAGATCTCACTGAAATAGGAGAACGTGGAGTGAACTTGTCAGGGGGACAACAAGCTCGAGTTGCGTTGGCTCGGGCGTGTTATAGCAACGCCAGCGTCTTCATTTTGGATTCTCCGCTGTCAGCTGTAGACGCGATCGTGCAGAACGAAATCTTCGAGAAATGTTTGCTCGGACTACTAAAAGATAAAACACTCATATTGGTGACTCATAACCCGGAGATTATCACATCGAAGTTTATCACACGAGCAGTAACAATTGACGAAGCTGGTGCGATTGTGGAGACATACCGGGCAGACAATGAAATGGATTATGAGCCTCTTGTTTCGCCAATAGGAAGAGATACGTATTCTCTTTCGTTCGATAGCGATGCGACTACACAATATAGCCCAAGTGCCGGCACCCCGTCGGGAAATGCAGTCGATGTGGTCGTGCTTGCGTCACCAGGCTATTCTACTCGCAAGAAATCACTGAGTTTTGTAAGTACGAAAGGCAGTGAGAGAGGCAGACTGGTTCAAGACGAAGCGCGGTCGGATGGTCGAGTGTCTCATCATGTTTTTGAGGCCTATTACCATGCAGTAGGAGGCCTACCCGTTGTGTCTGCAATTCTACTCTCTCAAATGTTATGGCAAGTGCTGCAGATCAGCAGTGATTTCTGGTTAAGTCACTGGTCGAATGACGCTGCTACACTCGGAAAATCTGCAGCTAGTACGAGTGCTCACACAGCGTATCGCTTGGGCGTGTACGCCAGTCTTGGGCTACTGGCGGCGTTTATGGTGTTCGGTAGGACCGTCCTCGTCACAATATACGGTATCCGCGCTGCGAGGAACTTGTTCGACCGCATGACGTACTCTTTGATGCATGCACCCATGCGGTTCTTTGATGCGAACCCTATCGGCCGCGTATTAACTCGCTATGGTGGCGACGTAGCTGCAGTGGACGTCCAGATCCCCTTCATGTTCGGTACTCTAGCAGCGAATGTGTTCTCCGTTGGTTGCAGCTTGGCTACAGCTGCATTTTTGATCCGTTGGAAAGGATTTCTGTTGGTTCCAGTGATCGCAGTGTACGTGGCAGTCGGTAGTTTTTACATCTCGCCAGCTCGAGAGCTGCAACGCCTGTCGAAAACCACAATATCTCCAGTTCTCACCCACATGTCGGAATCTGTTGACGGTGTGTCAATAGTTCGAGCCTTTGGACAAGTCCAGCGATTCTACCAGACCAGCAGCGCTAAGCTTGATGCGAACCACAAGATCTGGTACGCACAAGTGTACGTTACGCAATGGTTCTCCCTACGTATCCAGCTTGTCGGCAGTTTATTGTTACTTGTGGTCACATCGTCGCTTGTGCTTCTTCATCGTCAACTGAACGTTGCGATGATCGGCTTAGCGTTCTCGTATTCACTGAAAATTGCCGCTAATCTGGAAGGAATCATTCGCTCAATTACTCGCATCGAGACTGTGATGATCAGTCCAGAGAGAATGCAAGAGTACATTGAGATCGAGCAAGAAGCACCCTTCCGTATCCCTATGATTGATCCACCAGCACATCTGGAGTGGCCCTCAACTGGGTCTATAGTTTTTGATCAGGTTTCGTTCCGATACAAACCGGGAGGCGACTTGGTACTGCGTAACTTGAGCTTTTCCGTCACTGGAAGACAGAAGATTGGAGTCGTTGGACGCACCGGAGCCGGCAAGTCGAGCTTGACTATGGCTTTGTTTCGCATCAGCGAGCTCGCGTCGGGTAAAGTGCTGATCGATGGTGTCGACGTAGCCACTATTGGTCTTAAAACACTACGCGAAAAACTGTCGATCATCCCTCAGCGTCCGGTACTGTTCAAGGGTCCACTACGTGCATACTTGGATCCATTCGACGAGCTCACAGACGATCAATTGTGGAGATCCATTCGAGAAATTGGGCTGCAGGAGCGTATTGCTGAAGACGAGAGGAAGCTCATGATGGTAGTCGAGGAGAACGGCGAGAACTTCAGTGTTGGCGAGCGACAGATGCTGTGTATGGCTCGAACTCTACTACGTCACTCGCATATCGTGATCTTCGACGAGGCCACCGCTGCGATTGACCATGAGACGGACCAAAATCTGCAACGTGTGATACGTACTGCGTTCGCCAAGTCGACGGTGTTGACGATTGCACACCGACTTGATACGATTCTAGACTCGGATCAAATTCTGGTTCTTCATAAAGGTCGCTTGGTCGAATTTGCGTCACCCACGGAGCTGGTGAGTAAAGATCGAGGACACTTCTTTGACCTCATGCGTGAAGGTGGATACCTGGACAAGTCCAAGGAGCAGCAAGGAATCACGATGGCCACGATGGCGAGTATCGCGTAACGCACGCAATTGCTAGCTCATGTGCTCTTCTCATTAAACAGGATTACCGAGTAAATGGTAAATACAGCCTTACCAACAAGCTGCTAGACTCTCGGGCTGTGACAGGCATCGAGCAGCGATGAAGAAACGTGGTGTACGATCACTCAAACGCATCCTACTTCAGCGATGGTGCCTCCAATGGTAGGAGTAGGAATTTGAGGTCGCCTTGGTTGGTAAATCACATAATTTCAGTTCGACCAAAACTGACATA